GAAAGAGTGCTGCTGACTTGCCATTGCTGTTAACTCTACAATTCTTCCTACTCTGTTTCCTCCCCAGATTTCTGCCATCATAGTGCATCCCAATTTTGACCCTATATTACTTGATTCTGACATAGCTATCATAAAACTCTTGGACAAAGCCAGAATCAGCAGTCGTGTTCAACCCATTTGCTTGTCATCTTCTCATGACTTGACTTCATCCACAGAGGATTTAAAAATAATGGTTACTGGCTGGAAGGTACTGGCTGACATTAAAGATCCTGGATACAAGAATGACACAATCCGCATGGGAGTTGTTCAGATGGTGGATTCACTGTTGTGTGAGCAACAGTATGAGGATAATGGGATACAAGTCAGCATCACTGACAGCATGTTCTGCGCCAAACAAGACCACACAGCCTTTTCTAATATCTGCCCTGCTGAGACTGGTGGGATTGCAGCCATAACTTTGCCAGGAAAAGCATCTCCTGAGCTAAGGTGGCACCTGATGGGATTAGTGAGCTGGGGTTATGATAAAACTTGCAGCCTAGAACTCTACAGTGGATACACCAAAGCTTTTCCCTTCAAAGACTGGATTGAGAAGAACCTAAAATAAAAAGCTGTGTCTGGAAATGGCATTTTATAACTATCATAATATCTCTCTCAGTCTGCTGCTTTAGGCTTCTCATCCCAGTGATGAGCCACATCTGGGATAAGGTTAAGGCAGACAGCCTGGTAATTTGTCCTAGGATCGGATGTTCCATCAGGCTACTTTTACTTAACCCATGATAAAGGGTCTTAGTGCATGAGAAGTTTTGCCATATTTTGCCTGTCTCCCCTGGTGGGAGGATGATGCTCTGCTCCTGAGTCTGACATACAGAAACAGGACAGCAAATTCTGACTGAAATTAATCTGTAGTGTGGAGTCCCCTAGAGAAATCGATGGCAAGCTTCTCCCAAAGATCTGTGTGACTGAGCGGATTAGGAGGGTGGAAAAAGTAGCCTGAATTAATTACGATGGATGAGCTTGTTATGGTATGTGCAGTCTGTATTGCCATAGTACAATGTAATCTTTTTCCCTCCCAAGTACTTTACACATTTAAATAAACCATGGTTTGTTTGTTTAACCTACATACCCATGCCTGACATTATTTAGATTCCTTGTTGCTTTATCTGTGTCACACTCTAGGGATTTAATACTGCCCTTGTCTGTTTGCATGTGACTCACTTGGGACTCTTCAGGCACACTGAAAGGCAGAATTTGCATAAAATTCAATTACTACATAAATAATGATTTTTTCTTAATACATCCAGTGCCGCTCTGTTGTAGATGAACCATTGCAATGAAATGTACAGGGGAGTTCCTCCCACCTTGTATTCTGAACAGATAAAAACCTGAAACACACTTTTAAAAACATTTTTCCATGTGGATTATTTCAAAGATCTATGAAAGCCTCAGGAAAACTTCTGGTTTCCATCAGTTCATATACATTTTTGGCAGAACAACTCCTCTGTAGCTCTTCAGGGTGAAGAATAATGTCCAGGTCTCACACTTAGCAGAGGCTTTTCTTGACTGGACTTTTAGACATCAAAGTGTAAGACTCTCCCATTGGGCATGTTGCCCAGTGGCCATACTTTGGTCTACTTATGGTCCTTAATCACTGCTCTTTTACTAAATCATTCTCTATTTAGTTGTGGCTAAACACTAGAGATGACCCCTAGAAAAAGTTGGAGAGGAGGCACAGGGGAATGTGTCCCATCAGTAATGATTCCTGGGTAAGACATCTATGACACCCTGGAATTTGTAGGACCTCCAAGTAATTACAGTGCTCAAACCAGCTCACGGCAATATTTGGATATGAAGGCTGGGGATCTGATGAAAGGATTTAGTACTCTCACCAAGGAAGACTCAGATCCTGAAGTCGTGTTCTGCCTCGCCTATTGCATGGCTATGGCAATTGTAAGCTAACAAGTCTGATTTCAGCTCTGATTCTCTGTTGCTGTGCAATCTTGTTAAGAGTTTCTTAGCATTCAGTAGTTTCCACCTACTTTTGCATCTGAAAATTGCTGCTAAAAGGCAATTAGTATTGGAGGTCATTGCTTTTAATTTATTTTTTTGCTTTCTTGGGCAGAAAGACTTAATGTGTTATGCTTTTGCTCTTATTTTCTCTTGCAATAGGACCAGGTGACATTGCTTGAATCAAAAAGTTTAAGGACTACAACCAAAGTATATTGCTTCTCTTCATCTTGTTTGTATGTCTCCTCTTGCCAGCAGATTATGCTTGGCTGACAAACTGCATGGCAACAACAGCAACAAAAATTCTGAATTAAATGTGAAAAATAAGATGTGTTTCATTCCTTTGCTGGGAGGATCATGTGCCAGTGAACGTGTGGTACAGAAGGGGTTAGAGGAAATTAGGTAACAGCTTTGGAGAAGGGAAAACTGGCAGAAAGTCAGCATGTGTTTCTTCCTGTCAATGAAGAATGAAATGAGAAATGAATAGAATTGTTTATTGGAGCCTGGCTTGCCCAGTCAGAGCTCTTCCATGATTACATTACATGTGAGTCTCTACACTCTAATGGTAAGAGAAATTCTCTTCTAAAACAGAAATCATGAAGTTTGGTGAGCTGGTTCTTATGACACTGTGACTGCATTGCTCTCCACGGTATTATTAGTTCTCCACTGCTACAACTGATAGAGAAGAAGAGACCCTAAATTTTTTTTCTGCCTTTAGGATTTAGTAGAGAACTAAGTAGTCCATACAGATCTGCAAAAGTCTTCATTAATTCCAGCTTTAGCCCTCACTCTTCTTTTACTAAAGATCAGTCATACCTAGTATTTACTGATCCTCTAACTCCTCCTCGGTGTTGAATCACATCCCCATTTGGCTTCAAACTACTCACAGATCTGGCAATGAATAGCTGAAAGTTTCTGGGCTTGTGCAGCAACAATATAGCTGTTCACTGGCTGTATATCACACGAAAGTATATTCTTGAAGAGAAACTTGAAGGAATTCATGGAATGAAAATCACAGGAGAAGGTTGCTAGAGCTGTGCACGTACAGCAGAATTCAACCCCCCTTCTTTTTAGTCATGATGCTCTTCAAAGAAAACAGAAGCAAGAAAATGGCCAGGCTTCTCTCAACCCCAGGATTCAGATTTTAGCATAGTCCTTTATAGAAAGAGGAATTAACTGTAGCATTTGGTTCTACTTCTGGACCTCGATGTTTGAATTGTAGATTTAATTCTGACTAATCTCTAAATGCAAACGTAAGGTTTTATTTCTATTGTTATATGACATATGTGTTCGCACATATGGGTGGGCAGTCATATCAACATATGCAAGCACCTGTAGCATTCCTAGTATTTGTAGGAATTACAAATCAGCTTTAATCCCTTTGATAGCTAGGATCTATTTTTAAGATGCAAAACTATTTCAAACATCTCTTTCTAAACAGGTGAGGATCTATGCCATCTGTTGGAGAAAGGGTGTGAAATAGCACAACATGGATAGCAACACATCTTCCCTCTGAGGAAAAGAGCTGTGCATTCTGGAAAGGCTGTAAAGGTGTTGCTATGAAAAAAAAGAGAGCAAACCAGTCTCTGCATTCTTACTCTAATGGGCTTGTATGTTTTTGGGGCTGGGGGTGGATTAAAATACTTCCAAAAGCCAGGGTGCTTACCTGAAAAATAGCACTGTAAGGAAATGGACATACTGAAGTACATGTTCTTCTCAAGCATACCTTCAGTGACTCTTATGAAATTGCCCTGATAACTTGTTTCCCTTGATAACCTAAGTCCATGGTAACTTACAAGAAAAAAATGTGTATTTGATCAGGACTAGGGAATACATACTAAGTTGCATCCTGCCAGTTTTAAGAACTAGTACTGGAATCAGCTCAGTTGCCAGAAAGGTATACTGGGGGAGTGGAAGAGCTGGGCAGGGTCAGGTAGCCTTTGCTCAGCTGTGCATCCCCTGCAGCCTCACAACACTTTATTGTGGCAAGGAGCTTCCCGCATGCCTGCTGGCTTTCTGTGCCACCTCCGTGGTGAAGAGGCAACAGGCTACAGCACAAATGTTTGGTCCGTGTGAAATGAGACATCAGGTTGGTCAGACTTGGATGGAAAGACAGTACCGAAGTTGGCAGGCAGAGCCTCTGCTGGTGGAAACTGAAGTGAAGGTGCATGGCAGCGTCTTGACATGGCAGTGTCTTGACATGGCGTGAGTGTTCCATGCCCCAGCACAAGAGTGTAGTTACTGAATGGGACGAGAACTTCCTGCCCTGTGCTGCAAACATGTCCTGGCTGCAGCTGGCAGGCGGGGCAGTGGGCTGCCAGGCCAGTCTGTGGCTGGTAGCAGAAAATTCCAGCATAAACCGTGCTGCGGTTCCTGAGCGGTGAGGTGAGGATGAGGGGTTGCACCAGGACATCCCTGTGCTCTCCTATGAGCCGAACTGCTGTGAGTGCCCGTCCGACCTCTCCCTGCTCTGCACAGGGGCCTGCCAGGGCAACCGTGGCCCGGGCCGTGTCCAGGCAGTGCCCCGACCGTGCCCGTCCTCCCGCGTTCGCGGCGGGTCCT